AAACAGAAATTTAACAGAGCCAGACGTTATTGTATGAGTCCCTTTATCAAACAAGGCAAGTCAAGTTCAAACAGCCAAATCACCACATAAATGGATTATAGGAATCAAAGGGCACAGTGATGCACATCCCACATATCTCTCATTATGAGCAATAACACACATCACATATATTCCATTAAAACACTTTATACAACAGGTTTCAGGGAACTCAAAATAAAACGAGTTTGTTTGTTTTTTTTTTTTGGAGATCTCACGTTTGACTGTAGACTGCAGATGTACCGGAGAAAAGGAATACTCTCGACTCTGTACTGTCAAACGAAATCGTCATTAGCAATAAAACAATACCCAGTGAGCTTATGTCCTGTAGATGCACATTTAGCTTAAAGCTGCATTTCACTGCTGTTCAAACATCTACGGTCACTTTGAAAGAAGTGCCTTTATGGAGGGTTTTCTTAGTTCCTACCGTTTTTTGCTTTTTTTATTTCAGTTGTTTTTGAAATAAAAACTGTCATTGCCTATCAAAGTGAAGCGGCCGACTTTCCTTTCTTCCCATAACCTCTGTCAATAAGTGAGCGTGGGATTTAACAGGGAGAGGGAGAAGTGCATGCAGGTATACTTGTGTGTCTAGTCACAGTAATATAGAGTATATTGGTTTGTAGCCTATAAAGTGTGCAGAAGAAGCCTGAGTTGCTAAATGGCACAAGATAGGATCTGTTTTCTTATCTCACACAGATTGCTAAAAGCCTTTTAGACTGCCTGCCAAATGCACGAATGTGTAGAGCTGCAATTTGTCTTTTTTTTTCTTCTTTTTTTTTGTTATAAAATGCCTTTTGTAGCTGCTGATAAATGTGTAAAGATGCTGCAAATGCACACACAGTTTATGCTGGAGCATGCAGTTCTCACTTTGCAGAGACGCACTGTGGATACTGGCAGGAAAAAAAGAAGCCTAAGTTAGGAACACATTTATTGGTGAAGAAAAAAAACTCCTTTGTGTCTAAAAAGCACCTGAGAAATTTTACATGCTTTAGATCCATGCAGAAATTTCACAAGGACAAGATCCACCGGCCAAACTGGCCAAACCATTAATACCGTTTTTTACTAATCAACAACGTATATTTGATAAAAGATGTATTTTTTTGTTTAAAAGAAAAAAGTTTTAATACTATCAAATCTGGGTTGGGGTTGAATAAGGGATGGATTATCTCAATATAGCACAGGAAAGGTTAACAACCATCTGTAGCTTTTATTTTCAGTTACTTCTGGAAAACCGCTAAAACTGTCGATTTGATTCAATTCATCTTCGTGGGAGCAAACGCCAACTGATTCTGATTGTCTACACAGGCGAATACTGGTGTTGGTCACGGCAGGCAAGAGGACTACATGGTTCTATATGGTTAACTGTGAATGAACGTGTATGTTTGTGCGTCTTGCTGATTTCTAAATCAGGCCGGTCTTGAGGTCAGAGCCGCGGCGTGAAGAGCGGCCGAGCAGCAATTCCTTCTCGTGGATCAAGGTGTCGAGCAGGTCCTCTTGTCTGTAGTTGTGGTAGACCTTCAGAAAAGCCATCACAGTGATCCCGAGCCAGGTGAGCCAGGCGGCCCACAGCCCAAACTGAAAGAGTAAAAGCAGTCGTTGCATTTACTCCGACTGTTAAATTCGTTATACTGTCTGTACGTTAATTTTAAAAGATTTTTACCTGAGCTATAGCAAACTGGTCATAGAAAGCAGAGTTGTCCAGACCCAGTTCTAGATCAGTATCCTGCATGTCTTCACAGCTAAACAGAAAGTGGCATTTAGAGGGACTATACCACAGCATCATCCGGAAAAAGTAGAACACCTGCGCTTCTCTCTCACCTGTTGGGCATAGTCCCACCTTCGGTGATGGCGTCACACCACAGGTTAAAACCCACACTAACGATGGTGCTGGACAGAAAGACTGTGAACACCACCAGGGAGCTAATGAGCAGGTTGAGGAAGGCATTGAAGATGGAGCTGCAGGCAGACAGAACAGAAATACAAAACAAACTGGGTTAGGGCAGGCAAAAACCCTCAACATCTCTGGAGTATGTTACAAAACTGACACTGAGGCCTATTACTCTGCATGACGTATGCAACTCTTATGATTAAGTCTTTCAAACACACATCAACATAATGACACATAAGTTGCTTTGATGTCACATAAAATAGTAGGTGAAGCATAGGCTTTGATTTCTAGTTTAAAATGAGTATTCCCCCATCTTTGGGAGATGGCAGTGACTTGACATTTTACAGGATGCTTCCGTGCCCATTTCCATCCGCTATAAAATAGAGTATAATACATGCAGGCTATGAAATATACAAGACAGTGCACGAACAAGGGCGTGGGAGATGGACAGGAATGGCACATTTACACTCAGACCGCTGGAGTGGTATTGCTTCATAAGCTTTCGAATGAGCTTCTATTTAAGGAAGAGGCACAAGTGAACGGTCACTCACTCGTCGTGTCCTTTGCACAGAAAGAACAGCAGCCTCCAAGCCTGCACTGCGGACAGGATGAGGGACGCTATCCCGACAAAAGTGATGAAGCTGCAGGAGGACTCGGGTCCCCACTCCTCCACGATGAAGCGCTGCTTCATCACAGTGATGTTTTCATTTTGCCACATACCCCGCGTGAACAGCAGGCATTTCCCCCCGAAATCCTCCGTGTTTTCAGACAGAGGCACCACGGCGATAAAACCGAAAACGAAAGCTAAAAAATAAAGGATGCACTGGGCGAAAATCAAATTGTCGAGGGCCATTTTTCTGTCTTCCCTGCTCTGCACTCAGCGTCCTGGAGCAACTGCGGCTGCGCAGTGGAGACTGACGAGCGGAGGCGCAGCATCCGACGTTGCTTTGCTGCAAATTAATGAGCAGGCAGAGGCCTTCAGGGCTCTCCATCTTATCTACGTCCAAGCTGTGGAGACATTCCTCTTCATTAATATACCCGTTCGCAGTGGCTTACGTATATTACAGTTAGTTATGATATTTTTAGTGACCAAGATAATAATTTTCTCTCCGCCGTAGGTAGAAATAATAATGTATAAGTTCTTGTATTGACACCCCTTTCATTTTTTACAATCTCCAGTATTTTTACTGAAGCTAGATACAGTTAAAAATGCCCCTTGATGGCACTATTTTAGTTTTTTCTACACATTTCCCCAATATTATAAACTCTGTGACCTCCACAACATAAACTAAAGTTCTACATCATTTGCTGCACAGCACGATTTCCAGAGACTTACATTGAACTGCTAAAACTGTAAAATATATAACTATATATATTAAAATATATACCAAAAACTTACTGATAATAATACTACTATGAACATTTTCCTGTATAGGAAAGATATTAAAGGGGCAACTCTAAAAAGGTTCAGCATAATCATCTCCTTGGGCACAAGCACACATTTTGCACACACATAAGTGTATACTCACAAATTAGAGTAATGGTTTGTTTATACATGGTGACAGTCCTTAAGGAAGGGCAGGTAGCTGTCACAGCCACCTGACACGCTTCAGTGAGCCCATCTGGTGAGCTGGCCAAGGTGTCTCACCCTTTTCTTGGCCACCTAGCTTTTGCACTGCGCACAGTGCCCTCCAGTGGGCAAGACACCTGCTGCCATGTTGCACCAAGGTCTGAATGTTTCATGTTGACAGTATGATGACTGGCCTTCACGCAAGGCCAAACCTTGTGAATGTGAATGTGATGTTGTAGAATACAGAGATGAAAAATGTGGAATAGCTTTTACACTCAAGAACATTAAAAATTCCAAACATCGAAGTGTGTTTGGAAAATCCACTGTGGGTTGTGTATTCTGGGTGCACAGCATCACCATCAGAGGTTCCTATTAAGACGTTTTCGTTTAGGAGATTAATAATCCTGCATTTTTCACCACAACAGTCCTCGCAACACAATGACAAGTATTTATATGAGAGTTTTCCACACATCATGTGGCTATTTGTATCCATCTTGCAAACCGCAGGGTTTTTTTGCATCATCTGCCGGCACATGATTTATGTGTCATTTTCGCCACCGCACTCTGATTTCCACGATGGTATCAGCTTTTAGATTAGCTTGAGTTAGTGTGTGTGTGTGTGTGGGTGTGTGTGTGTGTGTGTGTGTGTGTGTTAAGCTGAAAGCTGATTTCACTCCAAGACTTTGAGACAGTTTGCTTTTTAGCGTCATTAGGCATTATTTATTATCCTCCTCGTGCATTTTTGCTGCGTTCGATTTTTATTCTTGTGCTCATGATATATTGTCCGGATTTCTATTTCCTGTAATCCATCATTTTGTACTGTACACCATTTTTGCTATGATACAGACTGTGCTGTTTGTGAGATGTGTTTTTTTTTTTTTTCCAAAAAAAAATAAAGCTTATATTGCCAAAAAACATAACTGTGCTGGTATGCTTCTCGTGTCTTTTGGCTACACTTGAAATATCATCTAGTCACAAATACAAGGTCATAAGGAAAAGCCGAACAACTTCATAAGGCAGTCCCCCGGCCCTTACACAAAGAGGAGATTACACGCACAGAACTCCAAACCCCACTTTTAAATAATACAGCATGTGTGGGCTCGTGAACTGGGCACCCAGGGGAAACCCAGAGCAGAAGTGTGTCAAGCTGAAATATGTGTTAAGTTATTCACCCCGCGAACAAACCACAGAGGGAGAGAAAGAAGGAGGGAGGATGGGGGGAGGGAGGATGCTAACCCAAATGCAGTCCCTGGGCTTTGTGCAAATATGAAGAGCAATGGGCAGAAGAAAGCCTTGGGAGGTCATCCATTTTTCATGAGATGCAATGGCAGCAAAGCAAACATCCCTTTTTTTTCCAAGAGGAGGAAACCAGTGAAGAATCTAAAGTGCACAATCATTTTCAAGGACATCACAAGTGCATTTTAAATGTAGTGCATCTATACTTGAATCGAAACACGCAACGTTGTTATGTTCATCAGAGGAAAGTCAAAAAAGACATAATGTAACTCAGACTTACTACTCTTTACTCGAGTCTTAGTTCATAGCAATATTTAAGAATTCATGTCTCATCATTTACTGAGTATTGCTGACACGAGACATTACAGCAGAAGATTAAGGGTGAGGTGGGACAGTACCACTGGGCGGGAACAAAGGCTGTCAAAAGTATCTGACCAGGTGATTGGAGGATGAATCTGGTGGAGGTTAACACTCTTTGTGGTAAACTTTAACATTGGAGTGATTTTTTTCCCTTTAGATTTTAATTTAAATATATTTAAAATGCATCACATTAGAGGCTGTTCTTTGTCTTGCAGATGATCATGCCCTCTTCACTCGTTTGCCTTTTCTCGATCCTGCTCTGCCACTCCTTATGGCTCCTTGGGAAACCTTCCCCGAACTGCTCCAACCTGCGGGCTCATCTTTCTCCGCCTGCAACACGAAACAACAGCAAAAACAGACACAATTACAGCCTCATATCCTGAGCAGTGATGTGGAGGACCTGATGAAATATCCTGTACCCATTAATCTTTCCCCAGGGGGTGCAGGAGACTGGGAGCACTGGGCCAGCTACTGATTAAATGCTCCTAATAGAGGCCATTCATCTCCCCTTGAATCATGAACGTTTCAACATGCAACATCACCCCACACAAACGCTCCCCGCCTCTCTCTGTGCAAATATTGGTGTTTTCATAAAGACAGCAAAGTCGATAGTATTTAATTTTGTGATATCTTTTTAAGCGGCCGTGATTTCTTAGTGGGCTCCTAAGATTTGATGGATGACTTTGTTTGCTCCACATGGTGAAAATCTCATCTATAACTGTGCCAGTAATCATCACGAACAGTCATGCTTGAGGTCATGTGGGGCCAAATCCAAATTTATAGTTTGAACTAATAACTGCTTAATATCCCGATTTTATTATTATCTTTAGTCGCACTGGCACAAAGAACATGATAGTTTGATCAGTCGTTAAGTGTTTGTCTTCAACTAATTTCACTCATTAGTGATTAATCTCTCTATCTGCCAATTAAGCAAATCCTACAAGTATTGTTTCTGGCCTCGGTGAACAATTAGGTAACACTAACAGCCCTTCCTACTAAACAACCCCCTGGAAACCCACGCTTACACAGAAACTGCAGGGTAATGAATGCAATGCCATCACTCCAAATATGCACTCTACAACTAAAATAGATTGGCCCTGATAGACACATTTTTGTACAGTATAGGCTGTTCAGTCATGCTCAGGTATAATCATCATAAATTAGCATGGCCTAATTGCGTTTCACCTGCCAAGCGCCATATGGTCCCTAGTTCAGAGCAAAATAATTAGGTGACTACATCCCAATTAAACAATTATCCAATGAAACCTCTGTAAAATAATTATGTGGTCATATCTGCACAGTGCTATTAGAAGTGTAACACTCAGGTCAACGCACAAGCAGCATTTAAATGGAAGGAAATGTGTTACAGAGCAGTGGCCACTTTGTTTTTGACAAAGAAATGGTAACCATGTTCCTGGCATCTCGTGGATGTTTCACCTGTGCTCCACGATACTCCAGAAAAATTCCCCATAAAAATCACGTGACTTTGGACAATGACATCATTGCAGGCGGAGGTCTTAAAAGCAGTGATGTTTATGCAGAGGGACGGGAGAAATGTGGATGAAAGGTACTAAAGAGGGGACCTGCCAGGCTGTGATGTGATGAAGTGAAATCCTCCGGGACTAAAAATGAGATCATCCAAATATTATTGAGCATCTTAACTGGAACAATAGTGACCCCTATTGACAATTTTGTGATGAATGCATAATAGACTCATCATAACACATGTTGTACATTTTACGGTGTGTGTCAGAACAAAGTACCTGATTTCCATCTCTGTTTTCTCCTTTTTGCTTTGCAGTGAAGTCCAAAAAATTGACGAGTCCACAGGAATAAGGCTGACCTAGAACAAGAGAAAGTCCCTTGTCATCTGCAAATGAACAGAAATGTTATCAATATTGTTTTCTGTTGGAATTTCCTTAGAAGTCATAATCCAGTGATGAACACATCACATAAATGGGGATCTTGGTAACAACAAGTCTGACACTATTATCTTTTATGCAACACTGCTCCACTGTTACGTCTTTAACCGCTGTCTCTGCGACAAGGTTGGGGCATCAGTACGGGCCAACAGGCCATCGCTCCCTGAGGCTCAACGGTGATCAGCAGATGGAGGGAGGTCTGCCTGCGGTGGTAGACGGTACACCCTTTGACAGAAAACGTGGGGGAGGGAGGGAGGGGATGCTGTTTAATGGATCACTGAATGCTGCAGCAAGGTTAAGGGAACCAATCTCTGACACCTCACTTCCTCTCCAATCTCCCTCTCCTAGCAGCCAAGCCCCCCTGCTTTTGGTGCCTGCATCTTGCACCCCTGCAGTTCCTCTGACAAACAATTAGTTCTGACCCTTAACACACACACACACACACACACACACACACACGCACACACACACACTGCAAAAGATAGAATTGTTTCCAGAGCTCTAAAGGTTGAGCAGGCAACATGTCTTGTTATCTCTGCTGATCACTGAGCACCAAATGGCTGCATAGATTCGTGCATACTTTTAGAGGTATATTATTATTTGTTTAGACTTTTTGTGATCCAAAATGCACCGGCTGTAATAGCTTAGCTCTGTAGCAGCTATGAGACACCTGGAAACACTACATCCAGTCTCAGCATCCTGTTTCCACCATTTGCCCATTTTGCAATGATCGAGCCAGGCTGAGTGAGAGGATTCATTAGTTCTTAACATGGATTCAGGGAGGCGCTCATTCTTTGTGCCCAAATAAACCGAGGTGGTTTCAGTGTTGCAGGTTGGGCTGGGGTTGACAGATGTGTAAAGAAAGGTGGAGCTACACACAGAGAAGAGGAGGGAGCTGTCCTGCTCACCCATCCCTGGCGAGCCCCTGGGTATAGACCAATTCAAAACAAAGCTCTGATGAAGATCTGTCAGCATGTCGTGGGTTGTTTCAGCTGAGGTACATGGGAGGTGTTGGCTGGAGCATCCCTGTGGTTGGTCTTGCTGGTGGCATACAGTATACAGTGTAAACACACTCACAGAGAACACAGCTGCTAATTAGATACTGAACCAATAGAGTCACTATGTACTTTAAAATTTAAATTATTACCTACCTGATGAGGTTTCTTTTTCTGGACGCAGTGAGTTGGGGCTACCTCAGTGAAACTGAAAATCAGTGAGAGGAGAAGGTTGGCTGAGTGACATTTGAGGGGCCAGGACTGATATATTCATGAGCTCGTGTAGCAGCTAGTTATGTGATCACTCGGTGGATGACAATTAAGCCAGATATAATTATCAGGCAGCCCTGATTGTTGTCAAATTCATACTGGAAATTCAACTTGCACCAAATATCAACCAGTTTTAATAATTTACTTTATCATAAGCATTGTGAGATTTATGATGACCTCTGACCTTGTGTCTGAAAGAAGGCTTTCATATGTGGAAGGTCTTGAAAGCCCGTCAACCCCGATAGTATCTTCTTCCAGAAAAACATCTGCTTCATCACCTTCTCCCACTTGTAAAACGTAAGAAAGTGCTTCCATTTCTTGGGAATCTCTCAATATGTATGGTGTGTGCAGAGAATCCAAGACAAAGCTTACCATCTGCAGAAAGCATCAGCTCTACCATGCTGTCTTTGTTCAAGCTGCTGAAGGAAACAGGCTCTGTAGCGCCATCTGGTGTCAGCACCAGCTCAGGGATATTTAGGAAAACACCAGCTGATGAGTGGGGTCTGTGTTCTTCTTCTTGTCCCCTGCTTTGGCTACTTCTATCCGTCAGCAGAGAGGAAATCATCTGCAGGGTCAGAGTGCTTTTATATGTGTGAAGCGGGTCCCACTTCTTAAGAGGCAAGGGTGAAGCTGAGGTAGAGGATGAGGCAGACAAGGATCTTAGATCCTCCTCAGAAGAAAAAATGTTCTCTTGAGTCTCCAGCTGCTGCTGCTGCTGCGAATACAAGATAAAATCTAAGGGTTGCCATTACTTAAAATCCCTTTGCAATTGTATATTGCAACCAGTATTAACAAGGACAATGAAAATATATACATTGTAAATGACAGGATGTTCTTCTTCTGGGTCGGCTGTATGTGCTGTTTGCTGTGTTTCTATTGCCATGTGCACTGGCGAAGAGCTGCATGTGAGTAGACGCAGAGCCTCGGTGGGCAGAAGCATTTGCTTGCTGTTGGGCTTTCTCTC